AGAAAATTGTCCTATTTATGTCAACGATGCCTCTTTTATTAGTATAGATATTTTCTATAATTATAATTTTTAATAATAAATAATTACATATTGTTTTATCTCGAGAGCTTAATTTTTTATCTTTTAATTAATAAATAATTGTTATTTAATTAATCCGAAGATTTTCGATCTTATCTCATCTCATTAGATAGATGAATCCATTTAGAAAACACAATATATTGTATAAAGAATGTTTTTTTATTTGATTAAATGAAATTGTAAAATACTGTAGTCCGTATTCACACCTTACTTTAATGATAGGTAAATACGCGCATTTAGTAGCTCTTACGTAACATATACTACCAAATCTCATAAATAAATGCGTCTATTTATCGATGGAAATGATTTAAATACGGATCTGTACGTTAGATCTCAACTTTCTGATATTGAACTCACGAGTATACATATTATAAACCTGGATATATGCCAAAAGCAGATTATAATTACAGAGATAATTCACAACGCTTGATTGATTCAATGTGAATGCATAATATGTTGCATAATTAAATATACAGATATTGATTGGTTGGTTTGCCATTATGTAATATTTGACTTGAAAATTAAGATTTAAATATTAATATGTTTTTTGAAGAGAATATCAAAATATGAGGAAACATGAATCAAGAAATTTAATAAGTGAAATTATTATTTTATGTATATGAATTTTGATTTAAAATCAAGTACTCGGCATTATCATCTATATTTTTACTTTTTTCTCTAGAAAAGGTACATTTAATTTCCGAGTTTTAACATAATTGTCAAAAATTCAAATAGATTAATTCAATTGTTTTAGTTATATTGTTTCGTAATAATATTATGATCATAAGTTATATTTCTCATTCTCATTAATTATATTATTATAATAGGAAATCATATTTTTTCTTCTTTATTTAGAATGTGATCGTTTGATAGAATTTTTTATTTTAATTCTAAGATACCGATATAATATTTCTTTTTTATATAATGTAGTATTTATTTTTTATTGAACCAATCGTTATTCTTGTTTTCAAATTTGTTGCCAATTGAGTATCCTTCTTGTATTTGTGATATGTGTCAGCTGCCATGGCATTGCGTTGGATGATAACCGGATTCACGTATGTCGTGTAATCCCAAATGGATTCCCTTTTGCCTATAAATTACAGATTACAACTTGAAATAGTATTAGTGGTTTATGTATTTATCTCAATGATACACATATTTTTTTAAATGTATGACTTCATACTAAAACCTCATTTATTTTCCGCTGCTGTATATTTTTTTAATAGATTACAGTCAAAAATATGATTTTAAATTTTAGCTATTTGCGTATGTTAGATTTGAAATTTTAACAGATAGATTATAGAATTTGTGAATATTTAATTTTAGTGTAAAATGTGACATTATTTGTGTGCGGCGAACGTTAAGATTTAATGTACCGAATATTAAAACTTATCAAAGTCTATTGAAGGACGTTAAATTTCAATTTATCTTCAATATTATAGGTAATAAGAGTACAACAGTAGGAATTTCAACCGCATAATCTTATATTTGGAAAACATTTGCCTTTCCTTACGCATCATTACACTTGGCTATTACAGTTCAGTGAACGTCTTTTACTGAGCATTTCTCTGTATTGATTTTAGTTGCCATCTTTCCTAAAGGTATAAAAAATTGATTGCGTTGCAAGTTCTTTTCTTTGATTGAATATTTATGAAATTTTTATATTTGTTCTGCATATTCGATAAAAGTAAATGATTTATAGAGTAACTTAAGACAGTTATAAAAGATGTGAAATAATTTATTTATAGCAAGAATCTTGTAATTTATTATTTATATACATTAAAAATACAAATATTTTTAAAAGACACATGTAAATGTTTTTGATGAATAATAAAATATATTCTTAATAATTCTATATTATATGTGTAAGATTTTTTAAAAAGTGATTAAACTTTTTTATTTCACCAAACTATTTAATAAATATCAGAGAGCGCTACAATGTTGATATTTTTCGCGAGGTATAGCAAACCAACGAAGTGTTTTTTTCAATCGTCGATGTTGCCAAGGAGTTTGGACTTCATTAATTCTTTGAATGGTCTTTGGTTGACCGAGTCTGACATTAAATGACTTTTTCATAACGGATGACGTAATGTATGGATGTATCTACATAAAAATCATTAATTAGTTAAACATATCGTAACATTAGTTATTTACTTAACATATATTTAACTAACTTTAATTAAACTGATTTAGTTGATAATTTAATCTTTTTTTATTGATGTAATTGTTCACGATTAAATACATCAATTATAATTATACGATTAAATTATCATCTAACAATAAGTTTAATTCAAACCAGTTAAATATATGAATAATTAGCGGTACCCTAGAATATTCGTAAATAAGAAATCCGTATTTTTGTAGTATCTGCGATTTACGTACGGATACAGCAGACAGAATAATGCAGGATGCTAGCCATCTCACAGTATAACTGTGTCTCATACATCACCAACTGAAGCATCCGGTATTACTCTCATATGCTGTGAGTACGCAATATCCTGCCATGTTATAACTAAGCAAATACTATCGAATGCTTTTACGAGTCGGAAGATTAAAAATTGTAATCGATCGAAAGCGATCATTCGGTGTTGTCATTAAAATATAATAATTTCTCAATGGGATCGAAATAATATAAGACTCATAAAAAAAATGCATATGTAATTAATTATACAATCGCGCGAACATCATATATATTGACGTACATTTTTAAATATGTATCTATTGCATAATTTTTGCAACTTTTATATATGTATTATAAATGATTTTTATAATATCTTTAATCTTTTAAAATTCTAAAAACTTAATACTTGATTTTTATTTATTATAAAACTTGTACTGCAAGTATGTGAATAAAATAGAACTTTAGTAATAAACATTCCATAAAATATATCGATTATTCATAAATTGAAAGAATCTTACGTGATAATGAAATGGTCCTGGTCCTTTGACATCCATTTTTTTTTCACGAGGAGCAGAATATATCACGCCATTTTTCACGTTCTTTGATATATCTCCCCTGAGATCGTAGTGTGCTGGACCTGTGTACGCATAGCAATAATGAAAAAGCTTCGTAAACGATTTGATATTTACTTCATTATACCTGGTACATGGAAATCGCCTTCTGGTATCATCGGAAACCGACTAGCGCGAGAGCCGAAGGGTGGAGCTAATCGTCGACAAAGGAAATCGCATCTATCACGATTAGCTTTGAAGGCTGATAAAACTTCGTAAGCACCTGAATCCGGTACATCACCCTATCAAAATTGAAAGATAAATGATTTTTAATTGAAATGAATATTGACACACCATTTGATCTTATTTTAAATATTATAATTATAATTGCGAGATAAAATTCATCGTAAGTATTTGTATTTTTGTATTCCGAGGCACATTACTCCCGCCTGATTAAATTATAGAGGATAATAGAGGAGAGACATGTTTTCCTCTTCTTTATAATTTAATCATTTAATAGAATGGCCGCTGATTTGGACACAAACCTAAGCGCCGATGTTTCCGGCTATTCGCAATTCGCGCTACATAGATAGAGACACCATTGCAGGGATTGGCTCGAATTTCCGGCTCAACGAGCCGGAAGTGATTTCTCTGGGCAACATCGGTCACATGTTTCTATGTGGAAATGACCTGCAGAGTGCAGCAAAATGTCATTTCCGGCATACACAGTCACTATTCTTCCCTACATTATGTAAATACAGCTTCCTCGAAAACATCCAACGAGGGAAACGAAGTTTGATCATTTAGAAACTGATACGGTTAGTAAACAATATTAATTTAACAGTTGATACCATACACCAGTGTCACCTATAAATTTCACTGACAATTTGGAACTGTTTTGATTGTTTAAATGAAACGTCAGCTAATCTAAACTACACGAACTCATCGAACATAGCGGAATCAGCAGCAAGTAGTTCGGTAGTGACGACTCTATCCTAGCCTATCTATGGACTGCGGCATCGAATCTCGTTCCGACGCTCTCGATTAACGGCCAGATTGGATCCTAGCCCCGAATCGCCTCGGGTACAGATGCATCGGTTCGATCCACTGCCATTAATTTCGTCTCCGGCTCTCCTGATTACCTTGTGCTTCCCGGATTACTCGGTTATACCGAGCCCACTTTCCCGAGCAAGTCGAAAGAATCTTCGGTCTGACCACAGACTTATTGTGACTACTAGCTCGAATCTCTCACCGTCTTAAGCTTTATGCTCTTAAACGCTGTAGGAGCAATTTCGACTGCTTCATTTATTACCTTTCCAGATTGGTTAATTCGGCGTGATGAATGTAAAATATATATATATACATGTATAAAAATAATATATATTTTGTTAGTATTTTAAATATAACTTTGTTTAGATATATATATATAATTTTTTTCAAAATACAAGGTTGGAAATCTTGGCTGTTAATTTAAATAAATAATTTATTTATTGTGCTCATGTATGATAATTGACTTTATCATTATTTAAGCTTAATAATTTATACAAATTATTGTTAATATATTATTTTGCATGTTTTTTTTTATATTTAGAACATTTATGTGAAAGATCATCACATTAAAAATGATTTATATCGATCAGAATGCATCATTCATATGGAAAATTATTACGATAAATGAAATATATCGATTTATAAACAAATTTACAGAATTTATTATTATAGTATCACATTTTTATGGCGGTGCTGACACCTCTTAGCGTACTGGGCTAATAGCATGTGCATTTTCATTGCAGTATATCGATAAAGTAACATAAAATTAGGAGCACATAAAATTCTTATAATACTCACATTTTTGCGAATTTTTGGAAATCTATCTACTCTTGATTTGAAGACTGCATGATATACCGGACACTTTCCTTCGTCTACTTTCATCATTACTTGACATTCATCCATTACCATATATTCATCATCGTCGCTTATCGATGGTAGTGTTTTACAAAATTTTATGTAGTCAAACATTTTTTCATGTTTATTTTTAAGACGTTTTGCCGATTCAAAGGCTAAAGTTCCGATATCCGTATGGTAATCTGCAGGACCTGCAACGTAAACTTATAATGTAATTTTAATACAAATTTATATATGATGTGCATATTAAATGAAAAATTTATTAGTTACATAACGTTACATACCTGGCAGCACCTCTTCGATAATTCTCTTGAAACGATCATCGAAAGCACCAAACGGTGCATGAAGAATAGAACCGTAACAAATTTGCGGAACCGTAATTTCATAAGTTCCAGGTCCGAGTGTATCTGATTGAAAATTTTCCTCGAATCTCTTAAGAGAAGAGGAATAAATCATAATTATGTTATAATAATTGGAGCAAATTTATCAAAACGTACCTTCGCAGATTGATTGAATGGCGGCGATTCTACCATAAAAGAGCCACATTTACACAGAATATGTTTATATTTATCGAATACGCTTTTTGGTAAGTCATAGTGATTGGGAGCTGGAAAGTTCTTTGTGAAAAAGTAAATTTTCATAAGGCGATTCTCACAGATACAAAGGCAGTTTCCCGGCTCGGAGTTTTCGCGAACGAACCGGCGACTGCGAAAGTTACAAAGCATGTTCTTAAAATTACTTGGCGTAATTTTTGCTGGTACAAAGCTTCCAAGAAACGTGGCTGCTTAGCGGCGGCTCTTTTCGCTTCCCTAGTTCTCTCGTCGCGGATTTGGACGGGACTTTTCTTTGTTTCGTGCTCGTAGTCCCCGGGACCCGGGGTCACGGAAGTCCGTTCGTCATCTCTACCCTTCATTCTGCTCCAAAAGTTTCCTTTGTACTTCAGAGCGGTAAAGTTTGTCTCCTGCGGTATAAATAATCGTTCGCGAGGTATTTCACAAACAGAAGCCACTCGGCACCCTCGGGGAACATCGTAAAAATCGGTTGGCTTATGCTCGATGACCGGATTTTTTACAAGTACGCCTCGTTCATTGTAGTCGTATCCGCCAATGTCACGTTTCGAAGGAACAGCAAGGCTTGTCGTGAGTGGTCGCGGAGGAGGAATCAGCCATAGCTAACAAATAGCTATGTTAAATGCTTCATATTTAACATAGAACTATGAATATAATTATTATTACTAATATTATAGCAGTAATAAAATTATAAAAATGGAGTTTCTGACCATAATTATTTTACCAAATAATTTAGTGCAATTATAATTACAAATATCGAACACTTTTTCTTGTCGGTGTAATATTTTCGAATATATTTGCAGCAAAACTAAAACACAAAATACATAAATCAGGAAAATACTTTATTTACTTTGCCTGCGGAACCATGCCAAGTACCCGGATGGGATTTTATTTTTCGAGGTGTTTCCTTAAACAAATCATTCGGCAAGATATATTGTGTTGGACTTGGTCTTTCACACATCTTTTCTTTAAATCTAACATCGGTATAATCAAGACTAACGCCGCCCTGTAAATTATTGAATCTTAGAGGATATCGAATATCTGTGCGTATACCGATGCGGAAGAATTGTAAATAAATGAAGCATGAATAGGGAAAATGCACGTTCTGGTATACGTTTCCGTGGCGCTTCTATATTGTAAGAACCAGGACCCGGGAACTTATGCACATCTTTTGGTATGCCGAGTGTCTGCTTGCTAGCTCCTCTCAAAAATGGATAAGCGTTGTCTGTGGAATGTAGTCTATGTTACGTAACGGATGCGAATGCAAGTTTTACCGAAGAATTCGCAAATGTTGTGCATTATATAAGTTACCCAGATGTCGAGCTGGCTTTGATGGATCCGATATATCGTAAGTCCCCGGTCCCACTTGAGCAGAAGTTGACGTAGCTATTTCCACGAATCTCTCCGTCCTGTCAAATGCCATGCCTTCGTATGTACAAAGAGAAAGGAAAACGATTTAAAGCGATTTATAACCTAAGCGGATAAAAATCGATAAAAATCCACATTTGAGAACATATCGCGATCGCATAAAACAATATAGTGTTCTTAATTCACTGCCAACGCTAAAAATCTATAATTTACAATTTACATTACTGTACGTAATGTAAACACAGCTTTCGAGCCAAATTTTTTAATAATATTATCAACTGGGGTTGTAACGCAATAATGTCGCGTTTTCATATCTACAACATATTGTGATCTGATACATCTATATTATCTTTAATTTCACATTAGATTAGACAAAAAAATACTAGTATAAAAATACTAGTCTAATGTGAAATTAAATACATGGAAAGAATAATTTTGCTAAAATATTTAAAAATTTAGCCAAATACAAATCTAAAAATAATTACGTAATATGCTGAAACTGGTTGCTATAATAATAAAACTTTTTACAGCATAATACGAATGCTTAAGTTTAACATAATTATTTTGATGGTTGAACAAAATTATTACTGTAGAAATTATTACTGTTGTCATTATAATAATAAGTTAAGTCGTTTAATTTGTTAGCTGAATATATGTTTAGCTTGTTATTATAGGAACTTTGGTACATTTTAATATTTGAGATAAACGAATAGAAGGCAGCAATAATCGCTTTTCTAAAAAATATTGGAATATATATTATATATATTAATTAATCTAAAAAAATATTTCAATATTTTCAATAAATCGCATGTCGAGAGTTTATTTTGTTTATATAATTTAATGTATCAATTACGATCTTATTTTGGTAATTATTTTGGTAATAATTACCCTTATTTCGAATTCGATTTCAAACCGCCAAAAACGTTTGAACATTTCAAAATGGCCAACATTTCAAATTTTCTACGCCGGTGGATGCGCAAGACTGAACGGTCACGTGACCGAAATTTTGTAATTACCGATCAGTTAGCATCGCGCCATCGCGCGCTTCACGTGCACGTAATAAAAAAAGCAACCGTTTCGCGCGCGCGCGCGCGTGTGTGTGTATGTGTGTGTGTTCTGCGGTTTGCCCACTACGTTTCGGCAAAATTTCGCGTACGAGTGTTCGGAAATCGGAGTATCGAAATATCGGATTCAGTTGGGTGATGGATCGTCGCAGTGTGATAATCGGTCCTCGTGAACCGCCATCAGCGCGTATCTCGGACATTCGCGATCGACGTCTGTGGTGTTGTGTCTCGTTTGTTTTTTTAGAAAATGTGTGAGCAACATGTTCCTTCGTATTCCAGCAATATGGAGCACAGAGGAATAAGAATAGGATTAACGGAAGGATTATTTAAAGCGGGGAGATCGATCGATGGCGAGTTCAGCTACTGGTGAGTTATTCTCACGTTATTTTTCGACTTGGGTTTTTCCATCGCATGTTGTTTTGTTGCATGTTTTCTTGAATTACCTGGAATCGTCGAACGTCGGCGAGGGCCGCGTCGCCCTCCTCCCTCTCCCCACCGCTCATCGCCATTTTCTCAATGCTTGAGCGCTTGGGCGATGCTAATAATTTAAGCCGAAACAACCCGTGCGTCCGATCGCCCTTTATCTGATTTCGGCGAAATAATCAGCACGAAAAATCCCATACTTAACAAGTCACTGGCTATGGAAGTGAAATGTCTAGAAATATTCAGGAGTAGATATTTCGTTAATTAAGAAATATATCTTGAGAGAACATCTTTTCTTAAACGACACTTATAAAGTTTAATTAATATCGGCTGCAATAAGAGGAAAGAAAATAGGAATATAATGATTTATGAATGTATACAATAATTTCTGAAATAGATAACGTCTGGTATAGTAGAATTTCTTCTTAAAATGGGAGCTAGCAATTATATAATAGTTTAATTAATAATATAATAGTTTAATTTCTAATTATGTTAGTTTAATTACATTATGAAACTGCTAATTATTAACTAAATTAGAATTCAATTTAAAAAGACGAAATATAATATATCGAGGTTAATGAGTAATTAAATAAATATTAGTTTAACAATGATGACAATGATTTTTAATATAAAGGATGTTTGAAATTTTCTCAAACTCCTTTTAAAATGAAAGGAAGTAGAAAGAAGGAAGGAAAATCTTTTTATATTTAATAAATATTCTTGGCAAAAATAAAAATCGGAGCGTAAGTCGAATGTAAAGGGAGAGGAACAAAAGCATAAACGAAACGTAAAAGAGGTTTACGCTCCTTTTACGTTTCGTTGTTTCGATTTTTACCTTCTAGAAGTTTCGTTTATGCTTTTGTTACTTTTCTCTTACGCTCCGATTTTTATTTTCGTCAGGAATTTTGTTAGAATTATTCAAACGAATGAGAGAGAGAGAGAGATTTATTAAAAAAATTAAATTTTATTTATTTTTTCAGTGTGCATAATTCAAGATATGACTGAATTTATAATTCTGAAATTATAATTTATACAAATTTTATTATGTCTAGATTATATAATTATCATCCATTAGCATAAATGCGAAAATCGATAACATTTATGATGAATATATGTATCATAAAGTAAGATAAAAGTGTCTATTACTAAAGTATAAAATTTTTCCGAATTAAAACAACCTCATAAAAGAATAATAAACACGGAATTATGTATATATTTGCATTAAAATACTTAACGTGATATTAAATGATCTAGCAATCAACTAATCAACATTGTATGTTTTGAAGATTATCAGTTATAGTATACATATGTATATTTTTAAAAGTATCTCTTACAATTATCTTTTTTATTTAAGATGCATTCAAGTTCTTTTACAGGTATCTTCTTTACTCAAGATATGTTCAAGAATTGTCTTTTACAATTATATTTTTTTAAATATTATTTTTAAAAATACTTGTATTAATAGTCGATAACCGATTCGAAGTTGTTCTGTTGCTCTGCCGTCAGAGTACGCTATCGGTATTGTTTAGCTGGTCGCGTATTTCAATCCGGTCGATAATTCGAGATGTTTCCACATGGAAATGTGGTTGGAGTCTACTAACAAGGCTGAGTAACCGTTTCTACCTGTAGCGATCTAGCGATAGCGAATACTTACTTAACGTGACGATTATTGCGACCTTTTCTCGTATAAATTGTGGTACACAAATATTAACGAACAATGACGAAAACCGAGGACCAATTTGATGGAATGTTTCTGGCATTGGCACAGCAACATGAAGGTGTGCAAGACGTAAGTAATTTTTTGGTTTGAGGTTATCTCGCGCGATGAAATATTTATATTTTCATAAGGCTGTCCAAAAGATACGAAGATTTCGCTTTTCTTTTTTAGTTGTTGGATACTTTCTTCAGTTTTCTTGCGAGAAAAACAGACTTTTATACCGGTGGTGGCGAAGGAGCAGCTGAAAAGGTAACTGTTCGAAAAGTAACACAAAATAATTTTCTTTTATTATCATTCAAAACAGTTTCAAATTGATCGGATTTGCTCTTTTCATGTGCAGCTTGTAATAAGCAAATTAAAAAAATATGAACCCAATGCTCTCGCCAAAGCTGCTTCTGATAAAGCAGAAAGAGCAGAGCAAGATAGAAGGCGTAAGGAGAGACTCGAGAAGAAGAGAAAAGAAGAACAAGCAGAAGAAGAGAAAATAGACAATGATTCTAAAATAGTTGAATTAACCGATGAACAGGCTGTTAAATTACAAGAAGAAATAGACAACAAGGTATTTATACAGGGTGTCCCAATAACTATTATCACCTGAAATATCTTCGAATCTATAAGGTGTAGAGAAAAATTTGTACAACCAAAATTACATAGTATGAAGGGGGCTATTATATGGCGATAATAATTTTTTCCCGAGTGGAGGCGCTTAGGAGATTTGAAGGTCAACTTCATTTTTTTAAATGGAATTATATAAAAACGAAATTGACCTTGAAATCTCCGAAGCGCCTCCACCTGGACAAAAATTATTACCATATGATAGCCTCCTTTACATTGTGTAATTTTGGTGATATAAATTTTTTTCTACACCTTATAGACTAGAAGATGTTTTAGATGGTAATAGTTATTGGGACACCCTGTATAGTGAAGTAATTATTTTGCTTTATGATTTTTTTGTTATATTTGAAGATAATCGATAATCTTTCAAATAAAATTATTATCGCGTATTATTTGAGATATATTCTGTTGTTCACTGCAAGTACAGAAAATCTATAGTTCACGTCATGTATACTATAAATTTTCAGTACTTACAATAAATAACATAGCCATAGTGTCGTTAAGATTATATGTATTTTGTTTGTGTCTGTATATCGATAGGTCAACTCATGCTTTTTGGATCAGCTATTTCTTATCTATTGATATTTTAGATCTTTTTTTTGATCTCATAATATTTTCTTCAAAAAGACATTTTGAAATAATTGCCTATTGTTGAACAAACGTATGTTATTATTATTATATACAGTAAAGAAAAATACAAAAGCGAGAAAGTCCACTTAGGATTTAAACTTTTAAAAACTTGTGTAAGAATGGAAAGAATATTGATATTCTGTTATACTAGCTGATCCATGGTGTGTATGCCTATGTGTCTTGCTTCAAGATGTTACAGTGTGTGTATTCAAAATGTATTGAAAACCTTATTTGACATGAGCGTTGTGGCTATGTAATCACTCACTGTTTTTTTTAAAGATATCAAAGGCATTATAAATTATATAATACTCAATTAAATGATTTTTTGTTGTACAGAAATCAGCAAATGCTGCTGTGGCAGGATCTAGCAACGATTGTAATGACAGCGCTGTAAATGACAAGACTACAGATTCGAATAAAAGCAACGTATCTGATGAGGAAGAAGAGAAAAATAAACTAAAGCCTAACAGCGGTAATGGTGCTGACATGCCGAATTATAGATGGACACAAACTCTTGGAGAAGTGGAGGTAAGTGCTTATATTTTTTATATGATTAACTGCACATGTGGCGCGCCGAAACTTTTTTTAAAATATTTATATAAGTTAGAAAAATATTTTCAAATATCAAATTCTTGTTGTTCTTTGTTTATAAGCATCAATTTGGATTTATTTTAATTTCGATAGCAACAGTCGAGTTATAATCGAAATATCGAAATTGTGGCAAATAAATAATAAAGCTAATAGATTAGTTAATAGATTAATATGTTGATAGACTATTGTTTTATAAAATTATTTATAACATAAGTATATTTTATAAAATTCTTTTAATTCGAAAAATTTTATATCGTATGTTCTTAAATTGCATATGAATGTTACACATTACATCGCAAGCATCATCGATATATTTTCGCGTTCACGCCAAGAAATGATTATCACACAATCTAGGCATAATAAAATTTATATAAATTTTATGAAATTTATAAATTTAGTCACAAATTCTAAATCACGCATACACAAAAAAAGATTGTCATCGTTGTTAAACTTAATTAATTTCGTTATATATATGTATATATATATATTCTACTTCATATTTTGTACTTCTAGTTTATGATATTGTACCTTATGATATTGTATCATTCTTCGATTGTTTTTCGAATATCAATATGCTGCAAAGGGTAGGTTGAAATGAAACAACATTTAATATATTTGACAGTTTCTTGTTGAATCAACGATTAATACGCAAGTAATATCACAGACGCGAAAAGCGATCTATGCGACCGCCCTTCATTGCTTTTCCGTTTACATTTGCTCCCGGAATAACAATCCGACGGAAATCCAGGTATTATTAAGGTAGCTTGTTAGTAAAAATTAAATTATAGGTCCTAAATAGATATTTGCTATCTCGGTCCCATCTCGTCGATTGCTTCAAACTGTCCGTCGGTATTTGTTATTGAAAATACTATCAGGGCTCATATTTTTAAATCTATATCATACGAAATCTATAACATACGAAAATTTTGTAATATATGTAACATATACTATATTATTTTCGTACGAGGTATTTTTCGAGAATAAGGCCCCATATTTGAGATTTCGTTGGACGACTAGGATTAGTGACACTCCAGTGATATTTTATCATGTACCTCTTCTCCGTTATTGGCTCTCGATAATGTCAATGCGATTTACAGTAAATGATAAATCAGTTGAGAACTACGTAGGAGAAACACTGAAAACGTATACGAAAAGTACGTTTTATTTGGAGCAATCGCAAACCACGTGATGTGTCACCGTCGTCCGTAACCCCTTACCACATATATCTTTCTATGTAAAAAATTATGCGGCGTGCAGAGAGAGATGTCATAACCACACAGTAAAATAGTGAAGAAATTTTTTAGAGAAAGTTACTTGTGTTCTATATGACACGCGCTACGCGGTAAGAAGTTAATTAACATAAAAATATTTACGTTATTCGCCGAATCGTGTCTCGCAGTACGATCCGAAGAATCCGTTAAATTCCAGCATAAATACGCAAGGCTATCCCATCGCGAGGATCTCGTCAATTCCCTAACAGTACGTCGCTCATTACACAAATGTAATTACTGGTTTTCACGTACCACACTTTTGTCGCGGTGCAATACACTTAAGATTCTATACAGTATACGCTTAAGACTTTAACCATCGCCGGGGAACGTCTACTAACTGAGAACGGCCTGAATGGCTTACAACGCAGATGTACATATACGTATAAATATGAGTAAATCAAATTAATATCGTGACTGGATCGTACATTTCTTCTTTTCTCTCTCTAATCTTCATGGAGATGATTTTTCCCGTTCTCTCTAAAGTAGTCATTTCCTTCGTTGCTCGTTTCTATCACTATGATCATCATTCACGGTCACGTGTCGTCGCTGTTTCTTCCTCCCCTCGCTCACCCTCGGCCTAGTTGTACTTGTCGCGAGCCCTCACTGCAATCAGAGGTAAACATCAGCGAGGAAGTTCGTGTATAGTGAATCCACTGAATCTACGGAGATCGTGCGCGATGTTGAAACAGTAGATGTAGCAATAGCGACTGCTGCTGCTGCTGCTGTGGCAGATACTCACTTTCCATGTAAAGAATCCCGGCGAGCAGACCGACCATAAACAGAAAACTCATAGTGCATACGAGAACGGTGAGCTGATTTCGCGCGCACCAAGACTTCCTGTAGACGGTAGTCGGTCTGCCGAGACCGTTCACGACCGTGAAGTGGGTGCTGCTGGCCACCGAGGCAGTGTCCATCTGCTTTGGTGCCGTTACCGTGGGCGGATGTATGGCGGCGAGATTCGCCAGATTCGCGGCCGTGAGTAGCAACGTTCCCGACGCGGCGCTCTGTAAATCGTACCACCGCAAAATTTGATTAGAATGTTATAAGATACGAAAACTCGTTTCCGAAGACTATTTATTATTTATACTTTGATTTATACGTAACATAGAAAATTTATCATTTTAATATCAGGACTGTCTGGTAAAAGACCTCTCATTAATTATATGAAAAATTAGATCTCATTAAATTAGTTTTCACATATAATGCAGCTTATAATATGGTGAACAAAAGATGTCGTAGACACAAGACTCGATAGTATTTTAGCTGTAGTGTATTTAAAAGCGCTCTGCACGAAGAGAATTATTTTTAAAATTTATCCTGAAAATATAGTAGTTGTGATACAATACAATATTTTAAAGATTTTTACCATGCACTTCAGTAAAATTAATCAAACTTATTTTATACTTTATAGTTTTATTAATGAATGAGAGAGATTTACATTAAAATTTCTCGAAATACAATGTTGTCCCACGACTATCATATTTTTAGGGTAAACTCTAAGAAAAAATTCTCTCCGTGTGTGAGTACAAGTTTTACACTTTTGATACACTATAGTTAAAAAACCATCCATTATTGAACTTTATGACATCTGTTTTTCACCACATTATAAGCTAAATTATATGTGAAAACTAACTCATTTCAGCGGTATCCAATTTTCTATATAATTAAGAGTTATTATACGATTTTTTTTTATGTATAATTTAAATTATTCGCAGAATTTTGTCTTTATTTTGAAAGTAGGTTTTAATTAAAAAAGTCAATTTATATATATATTTCTGTGAATGGTCGCGTTAAGGAGATGAAATTTACGTGTGTACTGGCAGTAGATCCTTGAGACGACGTCGACCCTCTCGAGGGGGAGTTCGGATGCAAGTGATGAGCCCAGCTTCCATTTTCGCTGTCCCTCTCGCTGCGTCCGACCAAGGACGGCCTTGGGATGTGCCAGGAAAGCGGGTTGGCGGCAGCTACCGCCGTCGTCTCGATCTGAAACCAACGTAAATCGACGTGAAGCTTCGATTGCATAAGCGATAATGCCATGCCGATTGCAGTTCTACTCTCTCGCCCGCATGTCCTCCATCTGCGACCGCGTGTCGTTTATCTGTCGCCAGAAAACATTACTCTACATATAGCTATGTGAGGTATCACCGATAAATGCATTAAACGCGCATTTAAATGGGCGGACTTTTAAACAACGATGAAATTTAATGAGCCGTGAAGATCGTTTTATTACACTGACGATTAAATTCTGTTTATATACTCTGCCACGAAAGAAGAACCAATGTATTGTGTGACGTAATTTCAAGTACCAAATCGGGATTAATTTCCTATTTCTACATTTTTCATGCAAATGTTTTTTTTTTTTTTTTTTTTTTTTAATCACTCAGGGCATATTTATCCAATTTGTCACGCCTTGTCCCGCCTTTGAAAGGTTATCGTAATTATTAATTTTTATTTTTAACATAGATGTTTTGACATGTGCGGATGATCGTATCATTTTTATCTGTTGCATCGAGCAGCATCAGGTGAGTTTCGCGAAAGCATCTTCTGCTCCCACTCTTCTTTTCTGCGAGAGGAAGATTGACGAGAATTTCGGTTCTCCTGGGGGCGTGGAACACCTCGACATTCCGGTTTGATCGTTGCATAACGCTCGTTGCACTCTCGAATTCCGCGCACTGCCGTCGCTTCGCGCGTCAAGTCCGCCGCCGTTGTTTTTGCATCATTTTCGTTCTTCGCGCAAAGAGATGAAAAGAAATTCGTCATCGTCGTCATCATCATCGTTCCTTCTCTCGTTTCCTTCGTAACGTATTTGAATCTTCGCACGCACCTGTTGTACTTTAGAATCGTACGCGCAGTTGAGCATTTCCGCGACTTCGCGCTGAGCGGAGGCGATGCGATACGACGCATCGCGGACGCCGATTACGCCAGTTAATTGGTTATTTTCGCACGTAAATCAAGTGCATTTCGCATCGGTGTGGCCTACCTTCGCGACCGGGCGCCGCCCAAGGACTGCGTCCGCTGTAAGACTTGAACGAGTTTGCGCGTTCTTTTTCGATGTTGGTTTTTCAGACGCGCACTCGCGATCGTCCCGACGGGTATGGTGACTCTAATGAAACACCGCGTTTCGTACTTGCCATTCTGCGTAATGTACATTTTCGAACGAATAAAGATTTAATTGAATTGCTGAAGCTAATAAGGCGCTAAATCATTCGCAGCAGAGAGAAATCCCAATGTAAGACTTGTATATTTACAGCGTTGATTATTATTCCTGTGAAAAAATCTTGCCTTGTCTTTAGAAATAGTACATTAAGAACTCTTGGTTCAAAGGTTACAGGAAAGGATATTAAATCTTCTTAATGATCTGTGGCGATCATTGATGCACGCCTATTGAATGTGCTTCACGCAACTTAATGATATTGACTTTAATTATATACGGATTATTCCAATTTATCTTAAGTCATTGCTCGCTATATAAACGACTGTGCTAAATTAGGAATTCAATAATGAGAGGCATATAAATTACGATACGATATATGATTGATTTATTGCACCCGTGTCACATCATTAACTGTAACAATGTTCATCATCATTATAATTCCAATAATCGAGAAAAATCTCTCTTGAACCTATCAGGAATTGTACGCATAGCGAATATAAATGGATGTGAGTAAAAATCATACATTTTTGCTAGATGATTTGGTGTTAATGCAAAATATTACATAAGTATCTATATAAATATCTAACGTGTAAAAAACATTCACAAAATGTTGAACAAAGTAATTTTATGATGAAATTATCGAAGCTAATGGCATGACGATGACGAATTCTTCGCGAGTCGGTATATCAAAAAATCCTTCATCATGCGAAAGCGAAAGGTGGGGAGAATGCGAATAGCAGAATAAGATGAGAAAGAGATAGAGAGAATTACAACATTTACGATGAGGAGTCGTTAGGAATTTTTGTGGAACTCAATACACCGGTCAGCCTCGAAGCGCCACACCTACGCCATACCCATGTAACATGATATTCTGAAACGGATTTTGAACTCTCGTATGTAGAATTTGCGTTTAAAAGATGCCAAATTGGATTTTTTTTTAAATTGCAAAGCATTTATTTTCAATATAGATATTTGTTACATCAAAAATGAAGAAAAAGATCAGATGCTTTTTTTTCAAAGAATCTTGAAAAATGCGTACATTCAATATGAAAACTCTCCTATCTATGTTGTAAAGAAAATCTTTTAATTTTGATAATCTTTTTTTTCTAAAAATGTTATCTTTTATATTTAAAATAAAATTCACCGAGATAGACATCTCTGAATGTTCTTCATGAATGTTAGCTTTTATGTCTTCATTCATATTTATTTGCTTCCTATATAATTCTTGATAGAGTCAAAATTTTTTTCAATTATTGGAACTATAAAACTATAAAACTAAATTTGATAAATGTAAATTTCTAATTGTAAATTCCAATTATTTACCATGCGTGAATAATTTTTCACGGAAATCTGAAAAAAAAATCGATATTTTTAGAGATTCGAATTTTTTTTGTTTTTCAGAATGAAATTTTTCTAAGTCTCCGCAGAAATTTTTTCAAAAATCTTGGTATATTTTCTGAAGAATTCGAAATAGTGCTCCAAAAATTCTATTGAAAAGTATTAAAAAATTAATCTTGATTAAAATAAAAAATCTTAAATCTTCACGAATCACAAAAACAGAATTCGCATTTTACGTCTTCGAGTCTCTATTATTTTACGCTTCTAGAATTAATTAAAATTAATTAATTCTGGAAATAATTGGAACTCTTTAGAAAAGCTTAGTACTGAAATTTCGAAAATAAGACGCTAACACTTTTCCAGAGATAGGGCATCAAGATAATATTAACTGAATTTGCGAAACATTCGAAAAGAAAAACAGAATAATGTGTGCCATCTTACTGGTAGTTGAAAAGTAATATTGCACACGCAGAGAAATTTGGATCAGAATGTCCTTGGTGTCTGTGTGATTAAGGTACAACATTAAAGTTTGAGACTGGTGCATATGTCGGGCATTATGAAAATGCATGCTCAGCTCGCGGCACTCCATTAATTGTGTCGCCAATTTTTTAAGGCGGCACTAGTCCTCATTTCCGTGATCTTCTCGGGTAATTATGCTGTCATCGTGCAAGCTTGTCGTTGCAATCTTCCAAGAATGTAATAAATATGATCTTCGAGGTGAGCTTTCATCTGCAGCAAAGTTGAATATAATTATCGATAGAGCGTTATCGCAGTATTTGGAGCAAGGTTATTTGCTTTAGAAAGAAAAATCTTTTCTTCATTAAGATTATCGGGCTCACAGGAACGCGTGATCATAGGACAAATGTTAAATGCCGTAAAACTCCTTGCGCAGTATTAAATGGTTAATAACGGTTTATAACATCAATGCCGCATATGGCACCGCCGTAATCATCTTTATTGTCCACTTCTAATGTAAACGTCCTCATTAAAAGACAGCACTCGGTTTACTTGCCATTAACGAAGATCCCTACCATCACGTGCAACAGTGGAACGGTAGTGTCCGTAATGAACGTTACATTGCGTTTTTTTTTCTACGTTTATTGTTCACGATTCTATGAATAATCCATTGACATTATGCCAAGTGTACACCATTCCATTTGATTCATCCCGTTATTGTTAAGCGACGCCAAGCGGCTCACGATGAGTTTCCTTCGCGATCTTATCGCGTTGCCTTTTTCCTGTATTATGTAAGGACTCGTAAAAAGAAACCAACGCACAAGTTGGAATTCAATATCGTCATGAGACATATAGATTGACTCATTAATTGACGACATTGTTGCACGTTCACGGGCAAAACTTTTGATATTGAAGACGCGGAGCTACGTCACTCTGCACCTAAGGGCATATTTCCTCGTTATCGATGGTCCCCGATAGTCTATTTCGCTCATAAGTTGCGAACGAGCGTCACCTCGCCGGATGCGTGGACACTAATGAGCGTAAAAAGATATATGTTACAAGGTAGCGATAACAAACGTCGCCAAGTAACCTTGTGCATCTTGAAACGGATTATTTTACACTCGTGCGTCGATCGTTCTGATTTATCGAACCGATTGGTAGACTTGCGGAAGCGACAACTTATCCATCACGCACTTCACAGCTGTTACTTTTACTGGCATAATTATACATTTTTCGCTTTATACGCATTTCACTATACACGTTTGCGAGCCACTGCGTCGTAAAATTGGCCGTACTTTCCAATACACGTGAAGCGAGAAACAAATTACGAAATGTCTTTGAGGGAGAAATATATCACAGCAGATTGATGTAAATCTCATTTAAAACAGAGGATTGAGATATAGCAAATTCAGACTCAATTCTTTCCATGGTGACACGTAATGTCATCTTGCAATAAAAACTTCGTACATATATGTATATATATATATATATATATTTAACTACATTTCTCACGTCCGAGCAGTATTGCATACTCTAGGTCCTCCGCTCTCTCTTTTTGTCAGTAATATTTTTTATTTTATATGAATATTCATACAACACTTAATATCTGTTAAGAATGATTTGTGAATATAAACTTATATAAATTATAACTTACTATTGGAGATAGTGAACTAATTAAATTTAATGGTCTGATTAACGTGCAATTCTTTGAATAAATTAGACTCGATAAAATACATCGCTTCTTTATTTTAAAAGCGCGACGATTCTTTATGGAATTAAATTAGATCACTTTTGATAAAGTATTGTTTACTTAACTTTTATTTATAATAACTCGAAAGTAACATTTTTTTAGTTACCAATTTCAAAGTAAAGGCAAGTAAGTTTACCACTTTTGAAATATATCATAATATCGGACCACATAAGATGTAACGTAGATGGGTATACATCTCATGCGATACAATTTTTTATGATAATATGTCAAAGTGTATATTTAAAACACAACGCATATTATACGTGATTAAATAAATTGCTTCAG